CATGCTGCGCTGCAGAAATGCAAGGCAGTGAGAGGCGAAACCATGATTTTCTTGTATATGGTTACAGGAGTTGCACAAATTGTGCAACTGTGTACCATGAGGAAGAAGAAAAATACTGTCATTTTTCATCAGTACCTGTTTAGCCATATTACCTCAAAGGCTTTCAACGTTAATATTTGTGAATAAATATTTGACATCATTGTTTCATTCTCTTACAGACATTGTGCCAATTTTGACTTCAGCTGTAATCGAGTGTCATAGAGCAGGATTGAAGAATTCGGCCTTCAGTTTTGCTGCTATGTTGATGAGACCTGAGTATCGTAATAAAATAGATCTTAAATACAAAAAGAAAATTGAAGCAATGGTCAGGTGAGCAGTGTTAATCTGTACTTTCAAATGTACACAATATCAAGGCTTTATTTGTAATGTTATTTTTGCTCATAAAGCCTACGGGTGTTATCCTGTTTTCATATAATTTCACTGTCTCAAATTTGAAAGGCTAAGAACTATTATTTCCCCCCTTCTCTGAAAAATAAAGGCCCTTCTGTTCCCTTGGGTGCGATAAACCTTAAATGCAATTTGCATGTACAATGCTTCCTAACTGGCAGTAACATTTTCCATCTTGTCCGTACAGACCTAAGTGCAGCCATGCAGCTTTAGTTGTTCTCTAGTTAGGAATGTACATGTAAACTGTTAGCTACTACAGCATCAGCAGTATGCTCTTCTGTGATTTAGACTACTGAGTAAACGGCTAAGATAAAAAAGAATGGAAGGGCAAATAAAATAAATTCAATTCTTGACATTTTCTTCCTTATCTGAAGTTCTGTTTTGACAGATCCTAGCCTGTATTTTCTGCCAGAGGAGGAAGCGTAGGTGAGCATGGAAGAGCAGGGCAAGCATATGTAATGCTTTTCTTATTTATTCTACTAGGCTGTACCCATTTTGAGGCTCGGGGACTTGCTGAGCCCATACGGGTGTTTTAGGTATTTATTAAGTCTCTAAGCTCTCCATGAGCTTATCCAATCTCTCTCCGTGAAGCCACATCAATTTTTAGCAACAGATGACTCCTGTGACAAGAAGTTCCATTGTATCATCAAGACTGGTCCCTAGCTGGTTTAATGATGTGATGCCTCGTAGTTTTCTTCTTGGGAGAGATCTAGCCTTTTCTGTGTCACTTATGATTTCATAGACCTCTATTTTTTTTCATTTCCCCTCTATCAGTCATATCTTTTCAGGACCTGAAGTGTCTCACCTTACATAGCTATTCCTTTAAGGATACTGATCCTTATGGCCTTTCTCCGACACTCTTTTACAACCTTTTTGGAGGAGGCAGGACCAAAACTACACACAGTCTTTAAGACGTGGGCAACCCATGGATTTATGCAGTAGCAGAATGAGTCTCTGTTCCAGCCTACGTGATTTGCTTTGACTGTTTTTAAAGTGAGCTGATGTTTTCATAGCATATATTATAATTGCAAGATCTTGTTCCTAAGCAACAGCAGTTCAGTGTCCACCATCTTGTATGTGGAAACTTTTTTCCAATGGGCCTTGCTTTGGCTTCCCCCCTGCGTCATCACATTGTTTTCACTTATATTTTATGAGCGTGCAGCACAGCAGTAGGTTACCACAGATGTGTACTGTGAGAACTGTTCTGTTTAGTATCTTTTAACCATTTTTTTAAAGTCATGCAAAGTGCTTCCCTATTGCCTGCTTGTTAATATTTCTAGAACATTCCGGTAAGCTTCTAAAATATGACATCAATGTTAAAAGCCACGTTGATGCATTCCTAATCTATCATGTTTATCCATACCTCAGATTTCTTAAGGGGAGACAAAGGAACAGGCCATTGCGAGGGAAACAAACATACCCAGGCTAATAAAATGAGAAATTAGGCTTGCTACAAAGCATCAAGGTAACTAAGGAAGGCATCTAGTTGTCTCCAAGGTTACTAGGTTAAACGTTAGAAAAGCTGTATCCTCTTCTTTGGAAAATATGCTAAAAGTGAATCGAAGCTCGTCGTCTATTATAAATGTTCCACAGAAGATTAAATGTTAAGGTCACATAAGAAATCTGAAAAAAGGCCTCCTCCCGCCCCCTCCCCCAGCCCAGGTGCTGTGATGCCTGGGTCAGGACCATCATCCCGAGACACCTGGATGAAAACAAGCCTGTGAAAGGCAGAGTTACAAGCTGTACGGTCCTACCTGGATGCCAGTTGTGCGTCTTGTTGCTTCAATTCTTTGTGGCCGCTCCTGTCACAGAAAAATGCTGAAATAGAGAAACCACAACTTCATATTCTATACACATAGACTGTGAATTTGGAAAGATTTCAAAGTGTTATGATCTGTTCTAGCTTTAAAAAAGGTTGTACTCTTTCAAATTAGATTGGAAAATAACCTGTTTCTGAGTTTACATAATTGTGATGAAGCTTGGTTGATAGTTAAAAGGAATTATCTGGTAGAATATAAAATAGCAACTGGAAGCTATGCAAATAAGGAAAACCACTTGCTAAATATCAAAGGCATTGTAAAACATCTCTGTTGAAGTTCAGAGCCCTTGAGGTTTTTATTCACATTTGTATCTTACTTCAGACGTCCAGACACAACAGAGGCAGAGGAGCCAACAACAGCCTGTCCCTATTGTGCGTTCCAGCTCCCAGAGTGCGAACTCTTGTGTCCTGGCTGCAAGAACAATCTCCCGTACTGTATTGCCACTGTGAGTGTCTGCGGTGTTTTCTGCAGTGTGAGAATGAACACAAAGCTTTTCTTTGCTTCTAAAAATCAGTTCATCTGAACATCTTTGGTTTGCTAGTAGATTCAAGCGAGATGTTTTTGTGGGTGAGTCTGTTGGGTTTTTTTCCAAGCTGTTACCAAAACAGCAAAAACCATTCTTGTTGTCTTTCTTTAACTATCGTAGAGTGTCCTTAGTTGCCACCTACAAGTTGCGGGCACTTAAGGGTGACAGTAAAATCACGAAGTGGTTCTGGAAGACTTCAGCTTCCTGAGAAGGCAGGGCGCGCACCAGGACCCCTCTGAACACCCAGCAGATGCGTGTTCGGTGCAGTTCGTGCACTTGGGAGAACACAGGCAGGATTGTGCTGCTGGAGCTGGTGCCTTCCCAGCCCTTTGCTCAGCTGCTCCAGCGCTCAGAGCAATAATGGCAGAGAGAGAGGTTCCCCCTTTCTTCTTCCACGTGCAGGAGCTTGTGGAGGGCACAGCTCTCCTCCCCAAAACTCCAGGCTGCCAAGAC